AGATTCTATCTCACCCCACAAAGAATGGCTATCATGAAGAAATCAACCAATAACTAGTGCTGGTGGAACTATAGGGAAAACAGAGCCCTTTTCCACTGCTGATAAGAGTGTAGACTGGTGCAAACAACCACTGTGGACATTCCTTAAAAAACTAGGATTAGTTTTGACCCACCTATTCTCCTGCTGGGCGTGGTATCTTCCTAGAAAAATTAAAATCATACCATAGTGATATACGTGCACCCCGTTTACAACAACACAATCTGTAATAGTTAGATCTTGTAAACAACCCAAATACCATCAACTGAGGAGTGGATAAAAAGATGTGGTCTTTTTCTACAATGGAGTGCTACTCAGCCATAAAAAGGATAAACTGGAGAGTTTTGTAGGTAATGGGTGCAACTCAAGACCATACTCATAAGTGAAATAAGGCATTCATTTACATGTGTACACATCACATTGCCTCCCTAGGGTGAGATGCTGAAAGTAAGAAAGGCCCAAAATGTACAACAGACAGTATGAAATGGGGAGAAACTATTCAAAGGAAAGAACAACTGGGAGGGAGGAAGGAGAAAAGAAGCAAAGGAAAATACACACACACACACACACACTCTCTCTCACACACACACTCACACACCTCATAGATAAGATAGTTATACCACTCATTTCTCTTAGTTCATTGAAAAGGTTTGTACTAAGATTGAAATATTATTAGGACAGTTAAATGCCTCTTTCTTGTACACTGAGTAGCTAATTTAAAGATAACAATACACAATGTATTAACTTTGCAACTTTTCTTTATCTTGAAAATAAAATTTAAAAAACATAAGAAGTGTTGTTCAAAACTCATATCCTCAGTCAGCTACTTGTCATTACTGAGAAAGGCATGCTGAATTCTCTAAGCAGAACGAGCTATGATGCTCAGTTCTAGTCACCAAGCACATTTAGAGTATCATGTCTTGTTGGTTAACTAACTACCATGGTTTCTTCTTCAGGAAAAGGGACACATGGCCATATTCTGTCATCCAACATGCTCATGACTTTCAGTGATTTAGATAATGATGCAACAGTATTATACTAATCCAAAGAAAAGTAAAATGTGACCCTATCAGAACGTTTTTCTATAAAGTAGGCATTGCCAGCTTAATCACAATGGTCTCTCTTCTGATCATTCAAATTCACGTTTAAAGCATTTAAATTTTAGATTAGGAGGTATATCTTTCAAGTATTTTTTCCTCTAACAGTTATTACGAGTTTTACCTTAAATACACTTCAATATTTTTCTCCACTTTCAATATTTTAATGTATGCCTAGAGTTTTTAATGCAACTAACTTATCAAATGTTTTGCATGAATTTTTCATTCATCAAAGCTGCTCTTTTTCACTCATCGAAGCTGTCCTTTAGAATACAGCTCTCCAGCTGCTTCTCTCGGAGTTCTAGTCAATAAAGACACTGAAGAAAAGCAACATCTGCCCCCATGCACTGTACATCTGCGCTCTTGTCAGAGGCAGTGATGAAGGTGCAAAGGAACCGACTGACCAAGCCTGAGTAGCCGGCTAGGCACAGGGAGCCTTCACTGTAAATAGCTTTTCTACTTCAAGGAACTTTGTGGGCCTTCCCTTACCTCTCTTCCCATTCTTATTTGGGCTCAATTAATTCTACTTCCTTCCTTCCCCCCATTTTTTAAATGTATTTACTACAGGGTCTCACTACACAGCCTGGACTCATAGTGATCCTCCTGTTTTCAGCCTCCCCAGCACTGGGATTCCAGGCAGGGGGCACCAGTCCGGGACTTGTGACTCAGTGCACCTGGGGGTGGGGCCGGCCCAGCAAATATACTTCCTTTTAATACTGACAAAAGCATTAAGCAAGACTCAAAAGTAGAGTGGGACGGAGGCAAAAAGCCTTAAAAGTCAGAAGAGCTGCTTCAATTTCTGTTTCTACCACTGACCTACCAGGTATGTACTCATATCCCAAGACCTACGAAAGAGATTAGTTTTCTAGTGGTCACTCCAATCTCATAGTTAGACAATCCTAAGTGGAAGAAGTTTAGTTTAACTAGAACCAGATTTCTAGTCCTCGCTCCTGAAGGTGCTGCAAACTCACATTTGGTCTGCCATTCACCCTAAAACTAATCTCTGAAGCCAAGCACTTCAAGTTGCCTGTGAATGTTTATGTACTGGAGTTACCATTAACCTAAGCCAGAAACCCTAATGATCTTACATGCCTTCTGCCTTCTATCCATGCATTCTCTCTTCCTAATATCCAACTTCCCTCAGGGCCTCTCACAAAAATTCTCTTTCCGAAACGGCTCCTGCCTCCCCAGCTGGTGATAGTCTCTCCCTCATCCGAGTACCCAAGATACTCTCTCTCTTAACACGTGCCTTTTGTTTCTCGGCAAGCTGCAGTTCTGTGGTGTGCAGTCTGTGGGAGCGCACACCTACTTCCTTTTGCACAGCCCACAGCATTTCTGGCTCAGCCTTGCCTAGAGTAAGTACGGAAACGCTCTGTGAGACTCGGACTGACTGAACTCCATCTGATCTTTGGACGCAGAAGCACCAGTCTTGTACGGTGATGATGTTTTGCAAGATAATTGCCGAAGGATGCATAAGGACTTGGATACTTGCAGAGCTAAAATTTACAGTGTTCATAAGCTAGAAGCAGAAGATCTTCAAGATCTGAGTTGAACCCAATTCAACTCAGAAGCATACAAAACATAAAAGTCTTGGCAATGTCACATTGTTTCTTTGGAAAGGCAGATTTAAAGGTATACCCTCAAATATCCGGCTTAAGTGTAAGCATTTCCTTTTTCAAACTTTTCACAAGACAGTATTTTGAAAAACGATTAGACCTAATGAACTATCAAAAAGTACAGATTAAGCATAGAATAACTGATGCAATCAGAATATTCAGCCAGGACACACTACATTACTGTCTTCTCAGGAATAATTTCCCAAAATGAAACACACTGTCATTAATTTTCAGCTTCATTAATAGGCTTCATTAATATGTAACTCTAAAAAACTATTTTTAAAAATGTGGTCCTCAATTAAGCAAAACAAATTGAAAGGGGGGGAAAAGGTTTCTGATGTTCTTTACAACCAAAATAAACAAACAAAACAACCACAAAACTGCAGACTAGCAAAGAGGAGGACTGGAATTTGCAGAGTCTAAACCAGGAAAGTCAAGGCCTTACCTGAATCCACCTAGAGGACGGGGTGTCTAGTGTGGCTTGCCAGGTAGTACACAGCACCATGCAGGAGCATTAAATAGAACAGGAGGGGCTCTGTCTGCCACCTCATTAGGAGGGTGCAGAGTCCGACTTACCTGGCTTATTCCTTGGGGAGAGATCTTGTACGACTGCAGCTTCTGCTTCAGTAGCTCCGGATCACTGTGACGGAATGGGCACCCTGACAGCAGAAACCAAGCGGCACACTGGTTATTTACCCAGGACTCACACAGTACCACACTCCAGAGACCATCTAAACTTCCCTTAATTGTCTAACAGCTTATTAATAAAAAAGTTAATTGCCCATGGGTGCAACTGCTTCCCACTCCTTATCTAAATGACAACTTAGCTATGCCATTATCAGGGTAGCACAGGCTCGAGAGTTACATAAAACATTACAGCATCCTGAGCCAAGATGTCCACTCACTACAACCAGGAAAAGAGCTTGATTTGCTACTTGCTAATAGCATAGATAATCACACAGTAGCTATGACAGTTTACTAAAAGAAGTTTTATACAACCTCACCTTTTTTGTAGTCCACAAAATTACACAAAAGGTATACAGAAGAAGGGAAATAGATAGTGTTGATGGGTTCCAGCCCAAGTACACACTGATAAATTATCACAGCTTTGATTCAACATGGCTGAATCCTCAAAACAACAGCTTACCTTCCAATGACCGCTACCCCTTCCTTACCCACTCCAACCCAGGACACAACTCCCCTTTACCTTTCCTCCAGTCAGCTCCTTGTGTGTCACTGAACCTGCCCCTCAGACGCTACCCCTAGCAAACGTCCACAGCGTCTTCTCCTCCCCATCTCAAGTCAGAGGATCTCCCCATCCCCCCCCATGGATCCTCTCCATGTTCTTAAGAATTAATAAAACACCCCCCCCATTTCTGCTTCTCTGCTATGCCACTGCAGAAAAATGTAACAGATGTAATAAAAAATAAAATGTAAAAATTCTGAGAAATATAAAAATCTTTAATCATTACCAGACATAAAACCCTTATGAGACCTGTCTCACCTCATGGTTCTGCTTCATAAAAATCTCTGAAAAGGGCGGTTTCTTGGCAAACCACTGGGTCCCCCTTCTGTCCCTCTCTCAGATAGAACCTTTCTTTCCCTCAATAAATAAATTCTGCACTTAATCCCTGTTGTTCCTGAAATTCATTCTTTGGTTTTAGAGAACATAAACCCATCCCAGGTATCTTTCAGGTTGGGAGTTTCATTCCCCTGACATAACCCTTCCTGCAAGAGTAGCTTCACACAACTTCCTGTTAACTATCTTGCTTCACTTCCTCACTGGGCTCTGCAGCATCTCATCGCATTGCAAGGGAGACATGGAGCAGTAAGATACTCTCTAACTTTTCTACAGTCCACTGCTATCGATGTTCTTATTATTCATTACTTACCATGTGTAAGTTACAAGTTAAATTTTATCACAGGTATTTATATGAAAAACAGTACAGAGAGGCTATGGCAGCATCTCCACTTTCA